ACCACTGGAAGAAAAACAGCGGCAAAGAGGGGTCGGGTTGCCGGGTACTGAATGCAGGTCCCTTACATGACGAGGGGCGTTTGACGTGGAGCCGCCGCCGCCGTCCAACCCGCTCGCTCATGTGCCATGTAGACCCTGCTGTTTAAGGCGGTTTTGGCAGCATCGTTAGTGCGTGCGTTCACTACTCCTACTGTACTTACGCACTAAAATTTTATGAACATTTTTATTATTCGTAGCTTTACAGATGTCTGTAGATATGCTCAGCTGACGCATCTTTTTATAAGCCACCGAGAGGGCAGGGCCACTAGCACAATTTTAAAATATTTCACAAGTTATAGACGCTGGCGGATAAAAATTATGCCAGAGCAGATGACCAAAAAATAAATATACCGCTACTAAGATATCCACGACGAGGGGCGAGATCTTGATGCTGCAGAGCGCCTGCAAATGAGTTGGTAGGCAAACCCGCCGCGCGCCTCTGTCGGGCGGGTAGTCTATGCAGCACTTCGCAGGGGCTCGGACGGGGAGGCCGCGAAGCGGAGGAAGCGAGAAGGAGAATAAGAGAGAGAGAGGGAGAGGGAAATTCAAACAAGAGAGGAACGCTGCGCTCTGCTCGGCTCTCGCGCGGTTCGGTCTGTATCTTCGGCCCCGCCTCGCCCCGCCCGGGACACGACAAAGGCTTGCCTCTACCAAATGCAGATGAAGCCCTTTCCTTCAAGAGGCCCCTCCCTTGCACCGAGGAAGTGGCTGCACAGACTAGTACGGGCGCGCCCCTGGGGACTATACCAGAGGACCCACGCCGCGCCAGGCGGGGAGCGGGCGGGGTACGGGTGGGGTACGGGTGGGGTACGGGTTGGGAGGTACGGCACGTTGACGCAGTGAGACCGGCGCTCATAATAGAACGTACCTTAGTGGCTTCGCACGGAAATTATTTTTCTGTGCGATTCCGCGTCTGCCAACCACGCTACCAACGCCACGAAGCGCGCTATGCTATACGCTCCCCCCGCTCGTCCCCGCGTCAGCAGCATGGAGCGGAGCACGGGCGCACGGTGGTGCTCGAGAGCGAGGGGCTCCATAGGAGGAGGAGGAGGAGGAGGAGGAGGAAGGTGGGTTTGGTGGCCCGAGGGGTGGCCGCAGCCATTGTTATCTTTTGTCTAGACGCCGCCGCTAGACGGGCTAGACGCACTTATCGGACCAGTTTGTTGCAGAGGCCCCCGTCTGCTGACTCTGCGGGAAGGCCGTCGTACGCCGCCGCCGCAATCTCTGAGGCAGCAGGTGATTATAAAATACGCGGTAAAAAAAAATGAATAGTTTTAAGAACACTTTGGGTTTGTTTAAAACGTGCAAACCCTCGACGCGCGTGTGAATGCACCGTTATTTATTTCAGACTCTCCCACATCATGAGCCGCAGCCTTAACTTTTTGGTGGAAATCGGTGAGTAATGAGAATAATATCAGTATTGCGTCTGCAGCTCTGCTTGTGTGGCAGCCGCCGGGCCGCCGGGTCTCCCATACAAGCAGCTGCAGACGCAAAACATGACATTCTTCTCAATACTCTTTCACCAATAGAAATTCATCCTGCAAAAAACCTCAATGAAGTGCACCACTTTCTGAGCGGGCGGCGGTGAACTGCGAGAGCGCGCGGAGGAGGTGGTAAAAGGAAGCAAAAGGGGGTGGGGGAGGAGGAAAGAGTGGGTGTGGGGGGCGCCGCAGATGATAGCTTTTCTTGCGGAGGGGGTTTAATAACGCTGCCAAAAATTATTACCCCCTGCCACCCTCCCCTTCATCGAGGACTAGCCGAGGAGCACGGGTCGATTTGGG